GCCGAGGTCGATAGGAAGAGGATATTACGAGAACTTCGGACTTAATTGTCTTTATTTAATTTCAGCTTGTTGGAAAGCATCCATGCGTCTATGTCTCGAACACAGTTTACCAATTTGGCGTTACTCAGATTCATATCAGAAACAGACGACGTCCTGAACGTATTATATAGCTGAGTGTCATCAGCATAAAAGTGATAGAACATTTGATGACGACGAGCAATCTCGCCAAGAGGGGATGTGTACATTGAATATAACAACGGGCCAAGACCATGGTTAAACCGATAAGGTACCAAAGCATGCATACACAGGCAATGAAGATTTCTTTACGATAACCACGCCTAAACTGCTTAGGAAAAAGATCCACAATTGCGGTCACGAAACTCTCCATGCCCACGAACTTGAATCAGGAAATATATGTAGTTTTTTGAAGCAAGTATGAGATGCGTCTGACTGTTACCTAGCTTACAGCAAATAGCGTTCTTTGACGTTTTGGTTGGGGAATGCACAGGTGTACGTGTAAGGAAATCCAGCTATATAAGACAATTTTTTATGGACATGTTATTCTTAATTGACAAAACCAGAAAACAAAACTTAAACATCCCAGCAAATCAATTTCTTTGCCCCATTAAAAATAACCGCTAAATAAATAGTCGCTACATTAAGGCTGACGGAGACGCGAACTCGCTGAAAGATAACGTCTGTTTTCCCGCCTAAACGCGAAAGCCATAAAAACAAAATGAAAAAAAAAAAAAACAATAATGAACTTATATCGGCTCTTAAATAAATTCACAATATTATAAATAAAAGCAAACAAAGAAGCAAAAATTACTTAATGATATACAAAATAATCAAAGACTTCATTAACAATCACTATTTGCCTTGCTTCGGCTTTAATTGCTTAATGGTATTGAGTGAGCCTCGCACCCAATAATCTTTCCACACAAAAAAAATATTATACTACATGGTTTGGAAATGTTCCATACCTCGCTGTCAAGCCCTAACAGGAAGACCATAAAGAAGAATAGAACCGACCAGAGAGGAGCCAACGGCATCTGAGCAACTGCTTCTGGATAGGCGACAAAAGCAAGGCCTGGACCTAGAACATACAGGAAATAAATATTGAATACAGGTCCTTTGCATGATGACGTCATTTACCGGGACTAGAAAAGCACTAACTATATACCTATTAATATTCAAATAAGTCATCATTTTTGCATCCACATTGGCTTCAAGATGTGTGAGAACCCGAGAAACAAATCCAGTACTGGCAAAGTATTGGCCCAGTCTCCCGCTTCATTCAAAGTAACCGAGGACGGATCTACCGCCCATATCCAACAACAACAGTCACACGGTAAATCATTTTTATATATCTTTTGGGTCCTGTATGAAAATGAAAGAGTAATAAACCTTATTCGCCGAAGAAGCTAATATTGTTGAATACTCCCCGGAGGAAGCCTAGGAGATTATTCAACGATATTCGCTGAGCCTCAGAGGTAAATAATTGTTTTACTACATGTATATACACACGAAGTGATCTCAACAGAATCAAAAAGCCGAACCAAAAAGACAATAAACGAATAGTTTAATTGACGGGTGAATTCGTGCGTAGACTAAACAGTAGATGCACAAAAGTTAGATCTTTACAGTAACTTCATTGAAACATGGTAAATCATAGTTTTAATTTTTTTGTAAGCTGTAGCATCAATGGTTTGAAAGAAAACGTCAAAAATTTAAATCTCTCGCCCTTCTAAGAAGAAACGTAGAGCCTTTTTTTGCTTCTGCCAACTCACCACGAATGAGAAAGTGTTTTTTTTTTTTTGGCTTCTTGCAAGTCCTGTCAACTGTCAGCGGCTGCGATCGAGGTGAATGTTGTTAATGTTTATCTGGAGTATTCTTTGCCTTGTTAACTTGCTGGCACGTATTCTATTCTTGCCTCTCCTTTTTTCCCATAAATTAACTTCCCTTCACGACGAAATCCCTAGTTCACAAAACAGTGATAAAGCGTTCGAGCGTATGAAAAGTCAGTTACAGTAAATCACTTGACATTAAATAATGATAAATCACCTTGTTTGAACAACATGAAGTCTTTTCTTACCTTCAAAATTATTAATTTAACAGGAGAATATTCTTGCTGTATTTTCAAAAGGTTCTTACTCTGAATCTTTGGTAAAACACCCAGTTCACGACATAGAGCAGTTAATGAGGCGTCATAGTCCGAGATAGGGAACCAATCAGACTATTTTGTACATTTTATATCATTTTTTATGTTTTAGGAAGGTCCGGATAGAACTTAAATATGACAAAAAGAAGTACCCTGGTATAACAGGAGAGGTTGTTCTGGTTTCTCAGTCTTCGACTTCATATCATTATGTGCGTTTTATTTTGTTTTAAAAATTAATCGGTTAATAGAGTAATTTCTCTATATTAAAGTTCATACTTAGCTCCGAGGCAAGCGCCTGGGGAAATAAAACAAAAATAAATGTATTAATCATACCATTGCTGAGCCTCAAAATAAATTGTTTTGTTGATGTTTTATGCCCCAAAGCCTCGCAGTCAGGTATGAATTTTAATATATCGGAATTGGTCTAATGAACAGGCGTTTTTGATACGTTAATAGGGGCCTTAAGCATCGACAACCAAACGGACGACGACGACGCTTCGCAACCGAGGCAGACTGGGCCAAGGGTTTCGTTTTTCGGCGAGGAAAACGAAGTTTCAGAAGCGTAGCTTCCCAGACAGACGACGACTTTTGCAAAGACCCGTTTGTCTTGTTAAAGTCTTGTTATGGCATTCAAAGACCTCCGTAATTTACATCTTATAAGCTATGACGATTGTTTAATCCACGGTGGCAAATTTGCTGTTCTTTACGACCCGTAAAGCGATTGTGGAGGCTTTCTCTTTGTCGCACAGCTTTTGTTTTTGTTTTGAAGTTAAAAGTGAATACCGATCTCGAACAGCTCTTGACTTGCAGTTACTCTAAATTTCGCCTGCTAAAGAGAATTCAGTGCTGCTGCTATGTTCTCCCATATTTGTCTTCTCTCAAGGCTCCTCATAACTACATACATCCTGTTGGGGAGTCCACCGGAAATCAGTTGCCTTTACTAGCGGCTAAAAACAACATGGAAAATATTAAAATTTAGTAAAAAAAAATTAACACTTATCCTACAGTACAACCTAAAGTGCAAGAGTAAGCATAGACCGTCAAGGAACGAACAGCATCTAATCTCACGGCAAGTTCGGAAGACAGCAGAGGAAAACTTTATACTTGTCTTTCTGGCTGGCTGTTCCGCCATCACTCAGGTTTTCAAACAAACCGAACCTGAATTTAGCAGGCGAAGAAATCGACGAAGAGCTTAACATTTGATTTTGCTAATCCACAAAGAATATATTTCTACTTGTACTGAATGACCAGGTGGAAAAACAGCGATTTACACGCAAAAAGTATATTTCTATATTTACGTTTTAGCGATAACGGCAAACCTATCTGAATTTCGTCGTCGACGAAGGTTGGACGAACACGCGGCAAAACGCACTGCGCATGAGCACAAAATTTTACATCCGGTCAGCTTTTTATTTCCGGTCTAGTACATAAACCAATTGCGTAAGCATAACATTGCCGTCGCGCCAAGTTTAAAAGCAAACAGGGAGAAACAGACAAAAAAGGGGGCGAAAAAATCACTTCGGCTGCATCTCATGCAAACACGAAAGTTCCATCTGCTAAATACAAGGCATGAAAAGTTCGACTTCTGAAAGCCATCGAACCAGCTTTCGCTCTCTGATTTTGAGAATGACAAAAAATAAATAGAGTTGTCAACTTGCTGCCAACCTCAACAGTATAATTAGGCTTATGTTTCATGGCAATCAACTCAGAAGAGTTTCGTTTCAAAACATGGTAATTAAACTCACTGGTAGATAAAACTACAAAGCGATTGTGTGTTGTCGTTTTCCAAATAAATCTCGAATCGGCTTTAAGGCATGAAGACTGAGAAACAGAAGAACTGAAAATTAGAACTACAATACACAAGCTTGCAATGATAACTTTTTATGTCTTAGTTTCAGCCAGGTTAAGTGGAAAATAACAGTCAAAAAACTTTGTTTTGGTGAATGAAAATCAGTTTACCTGACGCTCCAGCCAAAATTACACACTGAGTTATTATCAACTTACCTTTTCTGAATCTAATCGACTAATTGTTTCAGTGATCTGTGCCTGGTTATCCATAAAAGCAATTTCAATCACTACAAAATAGTCAAAAACACGAGCAGCATGAAGCAGAACAACTGAACCACAAGCTACACACAGAATGAAGCCGAGCGCGCGCGGGAAACTCTGATCTGACTGGAAAGTGTGCTGAAAAAGAGACCGGAAATGCTCAACCTGGCGGATGCGTAGACGTTTTGCCGCGGTGTTGGTTGGACGACGTTTTGACAACCTGACGCATGCCTAGAAGGTTCGAGCGGGAAAATTTCACTTCCGGTCGGCGTCGTCGTCCCATTTCGTCGTCGATGCTTAACGGGTCCCTAATATAAAGTCTAATATTATGGGATACATATTCTAATGGCCCTGCTGGAGGCCAATGACGTCATCCAACATAGGCCTTTTAAGATGTTCCTTTTTGACACGATGAGTTTTTTTTGGCTTTTTGGCTTCCCGAGTGGGATGGCATCCTTCAACCCCAACCCCCTGGCTCCCTGTACAACCGCCCCGTGAACACGACTACCTCGTAATTACAAAGAAACGATTTGAAGCAGCTTTTCTTTGTGTACCTTGATTGGCAAAAACCATTAAGACATTAAGATAAGGTGAGTGTGAAATTATTCTCTTGGTGCACTAAAACAACTGTATCAGGATACTCTTAGGTTACAGGGAGGGAATGAATGTTTACATTGGGCAAAATAAGTAAATTTTTATTAAGTGAAATTTTTACATGAGGAATTGTGTTCCTGCTACAAGTATTGAATTTACTTATGATTTTTAAAGGTTCTTCTGCTTTTCGCAGAGAATGACATTTACATCTAAGTGCGCATGTGATGATGGCTGTGTTACTCCTACTACCTCCCCGGTTGATCCAACAAACCCCTCTGATCCAAACGTGAAGCCCAAACATAAAAGACTTAGTAAAGGCCGTATTATATTGATAATGTATGTAATGAAACCTTAAAATATACCCGTGTATGTTGCTCTGGGGATTCTGTACAAATTGATTTAATAGCTCAATATTTGGCAATAATTTGATGAGGCTAAGTATAATATGGAGAACTCAGTATTTTTCATTTAAAAAGTTGTCTTTTGTAAACCTTTGAATCATAAGGGGTTAATAAGCTTAGAAAAACATCTTTCAATATAATGAGTCACGTGCCATTTTTGTTCGCTTACGGTCTATTTTCAATTCGAAGACACGAAGTTTTACTCGTGCATTTGACATCACGATACCATGCAACATCCATTTTTCAAACCTTACTATTCACCAAGCAACAATGGTTATCTTCCAATACCCCATAAAGCCGCTATTTGTATGTGCAATACAGTGATTCTCATTGACCCATATCTACTAAATGAACAGAGAACAAAAATGCTCTGTCGGTCGGAGGTAAAATGCTTTTCTTTAGCAAGCTAAGGCGCCAAAGATCAAAGGTCAGAGGGCTCTTAAAGGGGCTATATCACATTATTGTTGCGTAGTCCCTAGGCCTCATTTTTCCTCGCGGCCAAAACGTTTCGGGTCACGTGGTCCATGCGAAAATGTAAGGCCTAGACAAAATCCTCAAAAGTGAGACAAAAGTGAGACAGCTCAATGGCGATGGTAAACAAGACCAGTGTTTAGAATTTCAAAGGTTAAAATACATCGCTAAAACACACAGATGGGAAACCAATCTTCAAAAGAGTCCTTAGTTTTCTTCAACTTGACAAAGGAAGGCTTTTCCGGCTTTATAAAATTGTCCTTCGAGGAATTTAAAATACATGGAATTTTTATCACGGCCGATCAGAGCGCTTTGCTTGTTTTGAAACGCCACCAAGCAGCGAAGTTTTTGAAGAATTTTCAGGTACATTTTGTACTCTATAGTCAAGAAAATTACGCATTTGTGAATATTTTATCTTTAACGTTTTATACATTTTGCGATCAGCTTGAGCGCCCTAATTTTTGCCATGTGCTCAGCCGATTTTACTTGCGTGAACGGATTCACGAGCCAAATTTGTTTACTATTTTGTTTCACGCGAATTGCTTTTAAGGATTAATTTATGGGCCTTTGAATAAAAATTTTCGAGAAATAATTTCTCTGTCTATTGTTGTGTGTTCTTTCATTGATTAACATTTGCTCAAAACACGATCCTGAGACAACGCATGCAAGTTGAATTTAATGCTTCTCACATTTATAATACACGCATCACTTCTGTTGACGTCGGCGAATTTTATAGGATTTTTACTTTTAGATTCAGTTTCTGGGCACTTTTTGATACGCAGCTAATGAATTTTATTTGAAAGTATGGTTTTTCTAATTATTCAAGATTTGAGGTCTAAGTTTACAACACACGGGTCGATATTGTGTTTACTTTGAAAATTCGCGAGCGGCAAACTCCGATAGCTCACTTGGAATGATGAGATTGCAGGAGCAGTATAAATCTTCATAGGACTTTGAAAACATTCTGATGACTTTTCAAAGCCGGTCGGCAAAAGTCGATCCTACAAATATCCACAAGAGTGGTTAATAACCAAAATCTCCTGCTGCCTGCTTGTTGCTGCTCACGACATTAACGTCATCTTTGAATTTCAAAAGATAACGCACGCATGCGCATTCTGTTTTTGTCTAGGCGTTTCTCGCCCGTTCGCCTCGGATACGTCACCGAAACGATCAATTAACTTGTTTTTGCATTCAAGCTCCTTTCGTTCGTCTGTTGTAAGGGATGACAACTTTTCAAAGTTAGCCCAACTTTTTCTCAAGTCTTAATTCTATACCTGCAAATATCATCAAAATAATAATGGTTCTTGCTCCCTGATGAAATTTGTTCAATATATATCTTTTTCATAACTCTACAGCAACGTTTTTTTTTTTAACGTAAAAGCACTAAGTAATGACTTGTGCACAGAATTGACCTAAAACAGTAATATCCTCGTGACACAGTCCCTTTCAAGGCTAGTTGTTATCATTCGACCTTTGTTTACACTTGATCACTTATATAAATATTTAAGTTATGTTCTCATCTGCTTTCAGATTTTTTGTTTTGGCTTTTGCTTACCTAATTGGTGGAATTCTCATTAAAAAGTTTAAAATGGGAGCAGAAGGCTTAACAGAGATGGTACCCAATTATGAGTTTTGGGCGGATATTCTATCTTTAATTAAGGTGAGAAGTGAAGTGAAGTCTAAGAAATTTCTTAAAGTTATACGTCTAAAACAAGTATCGGATATAGTGAAGACAAAGCCTTAAGGCTTGTCATGACTAACGACGGAGTCTAGTGAAAACTCTGTTGGTTGCGATCTATCTAGTGAAAACTAGGTTGTCAGAGTAGCAAGGAGAAGCGGAAGAACTAAACAATCACAAAGCATGGAACTAGCCCAGTGATTAGTTGATCCTTTCGCTTCTGCTTCCGACAATCTGGTTCTCACTAGATCGTAAACGATGGAGTCGTAAAATGGAAATGTTCTGATTCTTCCAACCCGTCGCGCTCGGATTTTTTAGTATCAGAAGGTCATAAGTGCCACACCGCTTACGATTCCAACTCTGATTCCGTTGCTAGTGAAAACCAGCCTAGCAGATAGCTCTTACGCAGGCGGGAAAATCGCACAGGAAAGGGTTTTTGTTCAAATCGGCATATCAACGGTGAATTTGAAAGGAGTGAGACTGCGCCAAACCATAGTTAATAAAGTTGAATGTCATGAAGCCCGACAGACTCCTTTGTTATATGTTTTTGTCAGCTATTTTAGACTATTTTAGAACGGGCAACAAAGTAATAGGATTAGCAAAACAACAACTTTACACGTGCATCACGCTTTTTTTGTACATTTCTTAGCCGTCGTTGCACGACTTACAACGTGAGAGTGTCTAATTTCACGTTTTGTCGAGGCGAGGAACTCAAGACAACAACTTTCTTTTCTTGATTTTCAATACAGTTCTTTAGGATTTAACTCCAACCGACTCGGTTTAAAAATATATAGAGGATATTACACGGTGGCGCGAAGATATGAATTTTATTTTCGAGCGGCAAAACAATATTTTACGAACGAGCGCAGCGAGTGAGTAAAATATTGTTTTTGCCACGAGAAAATAAAATTCATATCTTCAAGCCGCCGTGTAATGTTCTTTTTATTATATAGACAAAATGACATCGATAAGGTATTAGAGGGAAATTACCAAAATTACGTCATCGATAAACTCACGTGTGAGATTATGGAAAATAAACCACTCGGGTCCCGGATGTAGTTTGTTTGAATTTTACGAGTGGTATATTTTCCAGTAAAACACTCGTGTCTATATAATAAATATATATTAAGGGCCTGTCTACATGGAGGTGTGGCACCTCAGGTAGGTGAGGTAACATATGTGGCGCGTCACCCCACCTATCATGTAAACGTGATCATGAGAGATTTTATGGACAGGTGGGTTACCTCACCTAAGCGGGTTACCTCACCTACATGTAAACAGGCCCTAAAAGGAGGGTCTGGTCTTTCATCAAACGTTTTCTTTTGTTGTATTAAATTTGCAAAGCTGCTTGCGATGTAGGTGAAGTCGTACTATTATCACCCTTTCACTCCTGCTTATTATACGAGAGGTGGTGAAAGGGGATATAAATGTTAAGAAGGCAATAAATGTGGAGGTTACCCCTCTCCTAGCAACTGCCTTAGTTGGAACTGTTAAATATCTTTTGGTGGATAAATGTGGGAGAAAAGCAGGTGCACACACAGTTTTCATTTTTAACACAGTGACTGTTTTTCAAGTTTTCTGCATGCTGTGAGAATGAAATACTTAAAAAATTAGGTAAAAAAACGATTTAGTGCAAAAATCTTCGGGCTATAACAGCATCCTTATCCCACAGCCACAATCAGGGGCATATTTAATTAGATGATAATCGTCACGTGAGCAGCAGGTACAATTCTTTTTCTTATTTTCCTTTTCAGGATGGAGTTGTATTTACGTGTAATCGAACGCATTATGGTCAAATTTAAATCAAGAATGGCTAGGATTATAAAATGAATTGCCAGAAATGAAAAGGTTTGGGATATCACGACGGCGATTGATAGTCAATTTGTTTTTCCCCAACTTCATGCAATAATTATTTCCAACACTTTCAATTTGTTTACGAGTTCTTCAGGAATTGAATTCTCGTGGACTACACTGTACACGTCATCGAGTGTTACTTTTGTGCAGTGACAACAACCACCTAGTTTTTAGGATCTCAATCAATTTTTCTCCCTTGTCATCGAGTGGAGACCCTGTTCGAGCCTGATCACGCGACCACCTCAAAAATCTGTTTGAAGGGTGGGGTTGCCAGTGTGACAGGTGCATTTTTTTTTGGCCCTAGTTGCTCAAACGATAATGCAATTGATTTCCAAATACTTACCCACTGAATAGTGTTTTATCCGGTGGATAGCGCTATTCATCTCTTGAAAAACTGGGACCTTGGGAAAAGAGGAAGAAACATTTATTTTCTTTTTTTCTGTGTTTACATGCTCCTGCATGGACGGCAAGTTGATGTACTAATAGCTTGGTACACGTAAAACAATTGTGTTTTTGGTAGCTATTGCTTATTTGACGTTTTCGTTGTCGTTGCTGTCGCCGTCGTCTGTTATAAAGCTCTGTAAAGTTTCAAAATACCAAAAAAATATTTTCTCTGCTGACTCATTTTTATATAGGATTTGTGCTAAAGTGTGTAGCAAAAATCAAAGTTATTCAATGAAAAGAGCTTCCCTCGTCTCGCCTTCGGCTAAGTCGCTGCACGGTCTCTACCTCGGAGAGATTTTCCAAACTTGGTCTGTAGGCCATGCTCCGAGAAACTAAACAGCGCTAAGCTTCTCTAAGACAAGATCCAGAGCAGTCAATCCTGTTGTGAAAGTAAGATGAGCTAAGGATTTAAAAGATGTATTGAGACATCGCCCTCGGTTCCGAGCACGATTCAAAGTCTAGGTGAGATATGCCACGACTGCCACAAAGAGCCAAATGCAGCATCTTCTGAACACAGCTAGAAAGTGCAAGTGCAGTTTATACATACTTGAAAATTCCGCTGTATAAATTTCATGCTCTCCAAATTTGGACCTACCCCCCTACCGTTTTGAATTGGAAAGGTGGTCACATGATCATAGTCTATCTGCACGACGACAAGGGAGGAAAGGGAGAAATAGCCAAACGCAGTCCCCTTCGGAACAAAGCTAAGAAATGAAACTATCACGTTGAATCTCACCCTTCCCTAGTAACTGTAAAATTGCCTCGTCGAAAATTGGTCGAGAAACGACGCCTTCTGCGGTTTTTATTTAGAAAGGTGGTCACATGATTAGGTCAGAGTCACTGACAGACTAGGGTCTACTCGACGAAAAGAAAGGAAAAGAAAGAGCTTAGGGAAGAAGCTGTGACAACAAACAAATAAGATAAAAAGGGCGATACGCGCAAAAAGGAGTATTGTTATGTTTATTACTCTTTAAACGTTCACGTTGCTGTTATGACATCTCAAACTTGTTCATATTTGGGAAATTACAATTATATTGCACAGTAATAGACTATAATACCCTGATTATAAACTAAGGCCACGGATTGACGGCCTCGCAGACGGTTATTACTTTCAACGTTTTTGCAGAGGCAAAGATATTTCACAGTAAAATTTGATATCATTGCAATCTAACGGTTCTTTTGACTGGCCCTTTTTGTTTACAATAATTAGTTCTGACAAGGGTTACACATAGAAGTCTCGGTGGACAATATTCTATTTTAAGGATTTAAGTTTACCATGTTTTTCAGAATGAAGACGAAAGATAAAGGTGGAAATTTAAAATCGAAGAAAACCACAACAGAAATGTGTCAAGTCTTTCCTTGTTCTTGGGAGTTTTTTTAGCTGCCCCCGGATTAGCTCAGTTGGAAAATGCTTTGGCCTTGCTGGTCGGGAAATGACAGGTTTGAGCGGCAGCGCAGGGTCTTAACACCTTCATGTTAAGATCATAATGACTATGATTAAACTGATTGGCCTCCTCATCCTTACCCTCCCGTATCAATTGGAAGGGATGCTGTTCGGTAAGAAAAGTAACATTATTGGGGGAGGGGACTGTTAATACAATCACACTCCATGAACGGATATAAAGCTATGTTCACACAGTCACCGAACCAGTTTATGACCGGTGGAAAAATTCGTGCATTAACCAAAATCTAGGTCAAATTTTTCGCCGGTATATTCAACACTTTGATCTTCGTGGTGTGAACGTCGTAATTGTCTATATTTTCGAACGGCAAAGGCGTGGTTGGGAAACGCCATTTTAGACGTGCTAAAGTGATGCTGTTCCCATAGCAAACGTACAACCTTATACACGTCCATCATCGAAAGTGATCGTTAAGCGCCGCTTTGAGTGGGAAACGGTGTTAGCATTTGAATACTTTTTACAGCTATTCTTACGTAAAGAAGAAATTTCACTCCTTTGTGAGGTCCTGCCCATCAACAACGCCGGGAAGCTGTTTTAAGCTTGCCATGTTTACACCTATATTCCACACGTAACTGGTTTTCAGCGCAATGCAATAAAACTATCATCAAATGAGACAAAATCGATTGGTTTGTGAGGGATAGGTCCGAAAACGTTACCAGCCTTTTCGAAAAATTTAGTTTGCAAACATGACGTTCAAAGATGAAAGTTTTTCTGTCAAACTCAGAAAACCGTGAACACCTGAAAAATGTCAGAAATGTTGATTGTGTACTGGCCAATCACAATAAAGTTCAGGATACGCAAGCAAACATCAAAACCACAAACTTACATGTATTACTGTTGCTGTTTGCGGTTTAGTTATCTCTCAACTTATTGGCTTATTTCTTGCAACACAATAACATTCCATAAATATTTCTGGTGTTCACGCTGAGTTTTTCAGTAATGTGCTAGAGAATAATAAGACAAAGTTGGGCAAGTAACCGCATAAAGATTCTTTGCATTTTATATTTACAATACGGTAACGGGACCAAACGTCGACAGGCATTTTAGGAAACGAACCCCGGGTTCCGTACTGCAGGTTATTGAATATGTTTATTTATTATTCATTCCAAAATATTTCGCCGTCTCTGATTGGTTCCAATTCCTCGGCTAATTCTTCATAACCAACCAGCCCTGACCAAATTTGGAAGATGCGAGCAGTATGCCATCGATTCGATGGTATGTTTGATTTGAAACGAGACTGCATGGCGCGGCCAAGAGTGAACTAACAAACAGGCGTTCACGGCTATCTAGAAATAGAAGAAATAGCTGAATTTCTGACTACAACTGAACGGAAGAAATGCAAGAATACACAACAATATTGCTGGATGGATGTTATCTAGTTTTTGAGGAGTATCTATAATGAAAAAAATCTGCTCAAATCCTGAAACCGTGCCGAAAAGAAGCCAAAGTTCCGAAGAAAGTCTAGGAGGAGGTTAGCACGTTAAGAACTTAAACATATATTTTGTATCAGTCAATAATAGAACCATCGGCGGATAAACATTTTAGGCAACATTCTCCTCTATCTGCATAATTCTTCATAACATACGAAAGCCGAATTCAATAATTGCTAAATATGGTGATAGTTATAGTAATTTCATTATGCTAGATACTCGTTTGACT